TTCCTGGAGTTTTTGCTGCGCTCTGCACAAACAGGAATGTTTGTGATTATCACTCTGCCCGACACTAGAATCACACTTAGAAAAATATATCCCAATTATTTCACAAGTTCCACAATTGATTGAAAAGTGCTTAGACTGGTTATGACATAGAATCTGCTGGTTTCCTAAACCATATATGGGCAATTTACAGCCTGTATTATTTTTCTGGATGTCTTTTTACAGTCCTCAGTATCACTGAAAATTGCAGTATCACTGAAAATCAAAAACTGCCAAATTGCAGAGGTGCAATTTTCTTATAGTTTATACACACACATGCATGATAGATAGATAGATAGATAGATAGATAGATAGATAGATAGATAGATAAATAGATAGATAGATAGATAGATTCCAAGCACAAAAAGCATAACTATTCCAATGCAGTCATTCATGTTATTCCTACCTATCTAGCACTTGGCCATTAGAGGAAACATGCATATATACCTTCTTGAAATTCTTGCAGACTGTAAAAAACACCTGGCTCATTCTCATGTCCTGCTAACCATGGCACAAAGATCTGTCATTAACTCTTATTACAAGAGGACTTAGTCTCATAACACCAACTTTGTCTCATTGCCAGCCTATTCCAAAGGCAGTTTAAATCCATGCTTTTACAGTTTTAAAGTAGCATTTTCCCCTTCTCTTGACAAACTGGCATCGTCAGGGGCTGGCATTTGCCCACCTCTTACTGGCCACTTGTGGTGCTACAGGTATGCCATTGCAGTCACTGGCACTGCCCCTGATGGCCATTTTAACTTGGGCTGTCAGAGAGACTGGACATTCCTGACCAGGCATTATGGAGACTCTTTTAGAAATGGGTTTGCCACTCTTCTGAAAGAATCCTAGATGTGTTTCAAGCATGTGTTCAGTGGCCTTTTGAAAGAGCACTAGACTCTTTTTCAAAAAGGACAGGAGCTCCAATTGATTTAAACTGGGAAAAGAGCCAAATTCTGCCAGCTCTTTGCATCTGGCTCTGTCCCAAATGCATGCAGTGTAAGGTTTTTTTCTGCTTTGGAGTTTTGTGTGGTTGTACTTTCTACTTGTTTTATTATTTGGGGAGATGCCATTTTACTTATGCGGTGCTATTTGGTGTACCCTCCAGGTGCCCACCAGCCATAGCCATTTCTGCCAATACTTCACCTTGCAGCATTTATCAATAACTCCTTCCTGATTCATCCCACACTTAACTGAGAGAGTACATACACAGTGGGAACAAAGGCTAAACACTTCAAACTCTTCTGCCACACCTGTGACCTGTCAATTGGGCTATTTCTCCACGTATGTTTAGCACTCTTCTTGAAGAACACTAAACCTATGTCCAACATCTAATCCAGCCGACAGGCAAAGGGATGTGGGATGAAGCACTGCTGTGTGGCAACCTGTCAGCTAGGCTGTTTTTAAATATGGTTTACTGCTATTCATGAACAGTGCTAGATTCGTATTTGAATAAACAGTTCCAGCACATTCTTTCAGAACATTTCTTTAGGGTTTTGAACTTTAAAAGAGCAAACAAGGGCTGGAAAGACATAAAGAGAAAGGTGAATGTCAGATTTGAATAACTGTGCTCTAATCAAGTAAAGAAAAATTCTGAAGTGAAGATTCTTCGGATTTTCTATCTGCTCACAACTTACAATGAGGCCTACTACCAGTGTATGCATGTTTTGTCTTTGAGCAAAAACAAACTGGTTACTAAAGATCCAGAAGGTCCTTCATTCCATTAGTATCTATTAAATGTCAGAAAGATGTGCTGGCAAGGGCGAAGTATTTGTGCAACCTTCCTTAACCTTCTCTGGTTGCTCCGTGAGAGAGCAACAAGACGTACACTGCCGCTCACCTTCATCCTCTTCAAAAAAATATCAGGAGGTTGTGGACGGGCTGCTTTACGATACTCCTGGTTGAAGTCACTCCTGCATCTGCTTCTGTGGTTGCCATAGAAACCATTGGCATGCTAAAGAAAGATAGGCAAGAGGGAGTCCCTAATTAGTAACTGAGGAATATGATCCCACAGATGCTCCAAACTTTCTGGTTAGCTTGATACCGTAGAGCCAGTGGAAGTCACATTTTGTCTTTGACAATGACAAAAAGAGTTTACAAGGATTTGTTATTATTCTTATGTTTGACCAGAAATGTGGCTCTTCAGGTTGGAGCAAAGAACCAGGCAAGGATACTTTGTATTGTCGAAGGCTTTCACGGCCGGCATACGATGACTGGTGTGGGTCTTCCCGGCTGTCTGGGCGGGTTCTTGGAGGGTTTTTTTTTATACTTTTTTCAGTCCCTGCGTCCCCGCTCTTCATCGTG